CCAACCTGACAATTTTTTCGAGAACTAAGAGACCTAGAAAAATTACGTCGCTCAAAAGAGTTCTTTTGTCGCACCAGCAAGTGAGCAACTTCACTGCAGAGGATAATTTCATCAGATCCTCAATGACCATTGACCAGAAAAAGAAACTTTTTAAATCGATAATCAGACGGCAAAAATGCGTACTCGGTTGCAGTGTTGTAAAATCTCTGCTATTAAATTTTTGAAAAGGTAACTGAATCAACATCATGGCTTAAAATTGTCACAGAACACTTTTCATAAACTCGGTGAAAAATTTTCGCGATTCAGTTTACTTTGGGTTCCTTTGAGCTACTATCTTTTCAGTCACATCTACCGAAATAACTTGGGCGATCGACCAAATTTTTGGTTAATTCGACCGAAACTGTTAACCTGAAACATCTAGGTAACAAAGGAATGGACCTGCTGAAAAATATATTCTCAATGTTTCTCTCTATGTCACCCAAAGGATGCGCCCTGCAAGTAGTGGCTAGCGCAAATAAGTATCTCTAATACGATCCAGGTGCAGTCCTGGCGGTTTCCGCCTGATTTTAAACGCAATTGCGAATTTTCAACCCAAAGATATGGTCAATGTAACCCAACGATTTAGTCAACGTACCCAAGGAAAAACTAACCGAGAAATATTGACCGTGCGTTTAGGTTATATCATCCTATCCTATCCATATTAACTCAAAATGACGGTTTCCTGTGTAGGGAGGAAAAAACACCAGGTTTCAAAAAATGACGTTATTAAGTAGAGTATTTCACACAGAAAATAAAGCAAGACATGGAAGTCTGCAATGCCACAAACGGAGAGACGTATTTCTGCAGTTTCATCATCGAAATGAAGATGAAAATAAGGATTAAGGATGTTGTACCCTGTTTCCTAACAAAAAAATAAGCTATGCATGTGCCTCTCAGCAAAGAATTTAGTCATATAAATGTTAAATATCTTCAGACTAATTTATAACTCAAATACTTGAAATCACTTAATGAAATAATTTTCAAGAAATTTAGACTTTTTTTTATTGATTTAAGTATTAGTTTTTAAGCCTCTGCTTGAATTACGTTGACCGCGGACACACTTCGTGGCACAGGATGCGGTAATCTGGTTTAAATCAAACTCAATTTAGAGAACGCAGATTAGTTGTAATAATATTGAATACCTCAGTTTGGGTTATAACTTTTAGAGGCGCTCGATACTTACAAAAAACTCTATTGATAAACTTCCCACGCATACAAACCGTAGACGTAGCACTGCGAGAATCGGAACGCCACAGTACTTTCACGGATATAATTTCTGCGAGATGTAATACCATTGCATTACCATAAATGTTAAGAATTTCACTGTTACGGTTTTAAATCTGAGCTTGAATCTACCCCTTTAGCTCGAGAGCTAAATCTAAGAAAATTTGGTTGGACAAAAAATTTTTCCCCTGACACTTTTATTTTCTAAATTCAGGAAGGTGTAACTGAGAAACATTATTGTCTCACTGTTTCTTTCTCCTTTTCTTTTAAATCAGCCACCTTCCCTCGACGAAAATTCTCTCTAGAAAGGCATATCCCAGAAGCCCAGTAATCACTGACGCACTGTCCTTATCTCTACCTATTTTTCAAAATGCTTTTACATCTTCTCCTTATTTTGTAATCTTCAAATAATTTCATAATTTCTATAAATTTTTATGCATGTAGTAAACCTCAGTTGGTAAGAAATCTCATAAAAATAAACAACTCCACTTCTAATATACCATAATGATAAAGTGTGGACAGTTATCTTTTCGAAAAGGCGTGGCCACCGATTGTTAATGGAAACAACGTTTCGTGAGCGACTTGGAATAGTTCGGCGGGCAAGCGAAGCGTCAGCACAGAGAGCTGGAAACTGCCAGCCCAAACCAAAGCGCCTTCATTTTTGACGCAAGCAACACGCCCATCCTTTGAACATGAATAGTTGCATCCAGGCGCTACTACGCGTATCAACCACATCACCACAAAAAAAGAGCCCGACTTGCTTTGCTTTATTATCTTCGCCCATCGTGCATATATCACTACGATCTTCGCCCGATTTAACACGAAGGTCCTTGTGACACGAACTATATATTCAATTTAATAATTGCACACTTGAAAAGGTTGAATCGTCTGAATTGGATACTAGGTGTCCCATATCGATCGACCTATTCGATTTGTCAACGCGAAATTTCGGTTTGTAACAAAAGAATTACGGTTCGAGTGGCAGGACTTACTTTTTGCTCTACTTTATGGGTAAATACACACTTGATCTTTTTCTGAATTTTCTCATTTAATTTAATTAAAAACGTTTAAAAACTTTATCCTAGAAATTTTTTTGCTACCCTCCATATCGTCCTCCGAGTGCTGAAAGAGCGTAACTACAGTAAAAGCTCGTTAAGACGAAAATCCGCTTAAGACGAAATTTTTTTCGGTCCCTTGACACTTCCATAAGAGTCAATGGTAAAAAAATACGGAAAAGACGAAATTTCGAAATTTTGACCCGTTACCAAAGCCGGTTAAGACGAAGAAAAATTTCCGATTTTTCCCCTGAAATTGTATACATATTGAAATGAGCCCGAAAAAGCATTAAACTGTATGGGATGACTGAGTTCATTGTAGAATGGTTTACGCCCGTATGCCAGAAAGGCGACAATATGTGGCACCGGTACCAAAAAGAGCAATTTGTAGGACCGTTATCGGTAAAAACGAGCCGAATCACGAACTATCGTATGGTCATCGCTGCTTGCAGAGTGACAAGATATCTTGGATTTAAAAATGCACTGGCTTTTTAAATATTCTGAACATAAAAATCCCTGACTTTTTCCTGTCTTTTCAGAGTTTTTTTTGGCAAGGTATCTGATAAATCTCTATCACGAGCAATTGACGACTTTTTCGGTAAAAGAGCATATGAGTCTTGCTGTGCTGCTGAGATTGTGCAATTTTTACAGCGTTTGCGGCGGATAAAATTCATTTCCAGTTGACTTACTTCCTTCCAATAGTTGGGAAAAACTCTGAGCAGATTTAGGGAAATATTCATAGCAGAACTGTCGGATAGATGTCGGTTACTTACAACTACGAAACTACGTTGCACAGTCTTAGCAGCATTAGAAGTCTAATACGCCCTTTTACCGAAAAATGCCTCAATTCTGAGCGTGAAGTACTTATCCTTGAAAGCGAAAAAATGCAATGTTTTAGCTGCAGAAAAAATTGCGGCAACAGAATTCCCGAACTTTTCTTGACTTATCAGAGTTCGGTAAAATTCTTTCTTCGTAAGAAATGACTTTCAATTCTACCACTCACTTTCGGATTCCTTCTACATCAAAATATATGTATTTGATTCCTTTATCCTTGACACTAACAAAACGGAGGGTGGTGAGAGGACGAAAGACTTTTCAAGCTCCTACCGGTGAAGCTTTTTTTACGTCTTGTCCTTTTTAGTAAGAAATGAAAAGAAATGCCAATCACTTTTGGGCCAATTCTACACTAAGGAAAGTGGTTTCTTTTCACGGAAGAAACAATTCAAACACAGGAGGGTAGACAAAAATGAAACCGTTAAAAGCTCCTATCAATCAAACTTTGGTGTTTTCTTTATATTTTTCCTTTCTTAATATAAAATGATATTAATGTCACCGATCTTTTCCAGACCCCTTAAACATATAGAGTTCGTTCCTTCATCCTAAACGGAGGGAGATAGGAGCACCCGAAACTGCTAAAAGCTCCCATCGGTTAAACTTTAGTTCTTTTTTTAAATTTGTTCTTCCGCGATGAGGACCTATCTTAAATTCTACCAAACACTTTTAGAACCCTTCTGAATCATAAAGTTGGTTCCTATACTACATCCTTGAAAATAACCGAACGGAGAGAGTTGTGAGAACATGAAACAATTAAATGCTTTTAACGATAAAACTGTGGAGCTTTCTTTAAAATACTTCGTTCGTAGTAAGAAATTACGTAGAATTCTACAAGCGCTTTCAGACTGCTTCTACAAAAAAAGTTGGTACCCTTATCCTTAACCGATGCAGATAAGAGGATGAGAAACTGTTGGTAGCTCATACCGGCTTGCATTCGATGGTTTCTTTTAATTCGTCCCGTCTTCGTAAGAAATAATGGTAAATTCTGTTCATCACATTCAAACCCCTTCTATACCAATTCAGTTCCCTCTCACTGAAATCTATGTCAAGTTAGGTAAAAAAGTTGGTGCCCTTATCCTTAACAGAGGCAGGTAGGGGGAGATGAGAAACTGTTAGTCGCTCATACCGGCTTTTTGATGGTTTCATTACAATTTTTCCGTTTCAGGAAAAAATAATACGAAATGCTATTCATCACTTTCAGACCCCTTCTACAGCATAAAGTTACTCATCACTAAAAACTATGCAAATGCAGGTGGGTGGACAGAGGGTGAAATTGTAAAAGTTTCTATCGGTTAAACTTTGGTAGTTTCCTCAACTTTCTTCATTCGCTCATACCGGCTTTTTGATGGTTTCAATACAATTTTTCTGTTTCAGGAAAAAATAATATGAAATTCTATTCATCACTTTCAAACCCCTTCTACAGCAAAAAGTTCCTCATCTCTAAAAACTGTGCACGTGCAGGTGGGTAGACAGAGGGTAAAAATTGTATAAGTTCCTATCGGTTAAGCTTTGGTAGTTTCTTCAACTTTCTTCATTCTCACAAAGTAAGAAATTGGGTGGAATTTCAATTGTCACTCTCGGATTCCTTCTAGATCAAAAAAATTGGCGCGATGTTCTTAAAAATAATCGAACGGCGGGAGGTAGGGCAGAGGGTGAAAATAGTAAAAATTTCTATCGGTTAAACTTTGGTAGTTTCTTCAAGTTTCTTCATTCTTGCAAGGAAGAAATTGGGTGGAATGTCAATCGTCACTCTCAGATTCCTTCTAGATCAAAAAAATTGGCTCGTTGTCCTTAAAAAAAATCTAACGGTGGGAGGTGAAAGGACGTGAAAGAGTTGAAAGCTCTTACCGGCTAAACTTTTGATGTAGAGGAGAACGAGGAGAAACGTGGCGCGAGAGAGGTTAGTCGGCGACACGCTAGCGGTCGACATGACTGCTGAGAACCAACTGAGGTGGGCGGCGGGCTGAGATGCAACCCGGCTTCAGATCCCCGCCCTCATCTCACCCCCGTCCCGACGCGGGGTGCTGCGCCCCGTCTTGCCACCCCTACACCCCACACTCACACCTTCTCCCGCTCACCATCTTGTGGTGGCAAAACAGATAATCGCTCCTTCGGCCCCCGCCGCACAAGGGGTCGCCGCGCGCCGCATCGCGCCGCGCCGCTCGCTGGGCTATCGCGCGTCCCGATCGCAATGCGTGACTCACGGAAAAAAATTAAATCGCTGATTCAACAATTCAATTGCTAAAAAGAAGCGACTGCAGTATTTCAATGTAGATTTTTTAACAAAAAAATGCTACTTAAACCATCCTCAAGGTTAAATTAGCTTACACGTGGAAAACTAATTCAGGTTGTCTAGTTGTTGTTTTTTTCATTTTGGGAAATCCTTATTTTTGACTAATAAATCCTGATTTTATGATTTTTCAAAATCCTGATTGTCACAGGTACTGAATTACCTATAACTTTCTTTTTCCTAAACTTATAAACTTTTCTTGTAAACTCAATCTAGGTAGTCATTAGGTATGGCTGGATCTCGTCCACTTTTCTCTTTTTCACTCCTATCTCCCAGCCATCACCTATAATCACCTATAAATTAAATTACTGAACTTGCAACTGATTACTCCACTGATTATAGCCAGCAAATAGCGTATAGACTTGCTGTCTCACCACTCGTGACGTCATTAAGTCTATAAAAGCTTGTGCTGCCAGTTTCTCATGGTCCTTTACCATCTGACCCGTACTAGTACGTATGTGCCCTCTCTAGCCCTTCTGGCACAAGTGTGACTTTTCCATCAACCGCAATTCTATTCCACATTCGTTATAGTACAATCTCTCTTTCAGTCAACTATTTCGTTCAATTCTGCAGGCTCTCCCACAACTCCACTATTTTTAGTGCGCGTATGAAGGATTTTAGATGATTTCAGTCCGTCTAAACCTCAGCCTAACCCTTCATCGTGACACTGATCAAATCCTGATTTTTAGCGGAGAAAAATTTAAATTTCTGCACAAGCGTATGCGAAAGCATAAATAAATGCGATCGGACAACCGACTTTTCTCAAATCCAGATTTTACGACAGATTTTTCCTCAAAATCCTGATGAAATCGGGATTGTGTCGTGATCCTAGGCGCCCTGCAATTTAACCACGGGGGTGATTAAAGTAGCATTTTCTTTTTGTTGTAAAATCTACAGTGAAACATTGGTGTCACTTTTCTTTAGCAATGGGCCTGTTGCAAACTTTTGCTAGAGCAAAAATAAGAGTTGCTTCTTATAGATAATGCCTCAAAAATCACGATGAGCGCATCAGCAAAGTCTGAAATGCACTCATAACTTCACAGTCTGCGTAAGAAATTTGCGGTTTTTTGAGCTTCCCGCTTCAAAAACGATACTACGGCACAGGTGAACATTTTGTAAGAGGAGTCGTTCGATCGTCCGCAATAATCATCATGGCCGACGCCAATCCGCCAAAACACGTTTGATGGGACGAGATAACACTAGAGTCCCTTTATACCCAGAGTTACGACAACTCGATTATCAGCTAACTGACAGCCGGCCTTGGCTGGCCATGGAGGCCGAAACGAGTGCACCCAAACGAACGATATTGAGGGATAAGGATCAGGAATCCTGCGATGTCTGTCACACAAAAACAAGAACATCAACAAATTGATCAATTAAAACGAAAATTAGATTGGTTTGTGAATAATTTCTTAATCTATTTTCATTTTGGACCGATGGAAATAACAATTTACTCTTGATAAACCACAATTAGGTAATATTTTCATTATTCTTGTCCACATACGAGGTACCGCCATCTTGGTGCACTCGTTTCGGCCTCCATGAGCGAGAACCAATCAGAATTGGATTTTTTTTTAGGCCACTTTCAGCCCAACCCTGGCCCAACCAAAAGTGAGTTGTCGTAACTCTGGGTATAAAGGGACTCTAGATAACACCTGAACTGGATTAGACCAGATAACAATCGGTGTGTTAACGTTCATATTTTCTAGAGTCCCTTTATAACCCAGAGTTAAGACAACTCACTTTTGGTTAGGCTGAAAGTGGCCTAAAAAAAAATCCAATTCTGATTGGTTCTCGCTCATGGAGGCCGAAACGAGTGCACCAAGATGGCGGTACCTCGAATGTGAACAAAAGTAATGAAAATATAACTAAATTGTGGTTTATCAAGAGTGAATTGTTATTTTAATCGCACCAAAATGAAAATATATTAAGAAATTATCCACTAATCAATCTAATTTTAAGGTTTTGATCAGTTTTTGTTGATGTTGTTGTTTTTGGATGACAGACATCGGAGGATTCCTTATCCTTATCCCTCAATATCGTTCGTTTGAGTGCACTCGTTTCGGCCTCCATGGCCAGCCAAGGCCGGCTGCCAGTCAGCTGATAATCGAGTTGTCTTAACTCTGGGTTATAAAGGGACTCTAATATTTTCCACGCCCGAATTGATTGACCTTGAACTCTCCTCGAATTACGCGCGGAACTGCGCGCAAGCCAGAGACAAGCGCAAGCGTCGGCTATGATGAATATCGCCGACGATGGAGCGACTCCTCTAACAAAATGTTCACCTGTGCCGTAGTATCGTTTTTGAAGCGGGAAGCTTTAAAAAACGCAAATTTCTTACGCCAGATTGTGAAGTTATGAGTGCATTTCAGACTTTGCCGATGCGCTCATCGTGATTTTTGAGGCATTATCTACAAGAAACAACTCTTATTTTTGCTCTAGCAAAAGTTTGCAACAGGCCCATTGAATTTTTAAAGCAGCAATTGAATTTTTTACGTGTACATGGGTCGTTATCAAGACTGCCGCGCGCGTGCTAGCGGAGAGCCGTAACTCTAAAATTTTCGAGATCGAATTTCCTTCTAAGTTCTTTTTTAGACGAAATCACTAAAATATCCGAAACAGTCTTATTTAATGAGCCAAATTTATTAAGATATTCATAATAAAATTGGTGTTTGTGGAGTAACATAGTTGGCGGATTGAACATGCTAATTTAAGATTTTTGTCCGTAGTGTGCATGGACTGTGGGTAGAATGAAGCGTTACCCTTATTTGTGGGATATCGGGACGTATGAAAGCCGTAAAATCGCAAAAATTGACGTTGTTTTAAGCGAAACAGTCGTAAGGCGCATTATGCCGCCAGAAAAACTATGAGAGCAGTACTTGTAAGTAAAATGCCGCCGTTCCCTGACAATTTAAATCGTGAAAATTTGTTTGTTGTGTATCCAAAACGCAACCACAAAGACACGCAGAAGATAGCTCTAACAGCTGTGTTGCCTAACACTGCAGCTTAACATTAAAATCAAAGGGACCCTTTGTAATTCAGCAGTTTACTTAAGGAAATGGGTCCTTGAAGGAATTACCATGATTATTACTACTGACTACGAAAAACACAAAATGTGAAAGAAATATATTGCGAGTTTCGTAGATTCCCCTGTAGATTCGTATCTACTTTCTTATCACAATTATAGAATTTTATCGTCCGTATTTTGTACTTTTTGCAATGACTAATCATTGTAATCCCTTGGAAAAATCTATTTCCAAAGTTATACTGCTATTTTACTCGAAGTTAGGTTGGACTCGAGCAGTGGCGTAGCGCGCTTTGCGATATATCGATTGATACGCCACTCAAACCTATAAAAAAGATCGATTATCAGGGCGTTCGCAGCGAACACCTTAGTAATCGATTCTTTACCATAGCTTCAAATGGCGAGATATCGATGATCGATCATTTACGCCACGCCACTGGACTCGAGGTAATATGGATGATCCAAAAATAATAGTTTCTCATTGCAACGTGTAGTCCATATGGCACATGTTTCTTTTTTTGCGCTTAATCTACCTTTAATCATGTACAAACTACGTACTTTCAGGTGATCATCTTAAGGAGTCACAGTAACCCTTCTCCGCGAAAAAACGGCGTAAGCCGCTGTGCGCCTTTTTCCCGAGAAAATTCTTAACTAAAGTACTCACTCAAAGCTGAAAAAAGCACAAGCGCCAGGTATAATTGGCAATCTGTACGTTTGCTAGCTTTTTTTTCTATTCTTGCGTTTGAGTCTCTCATTGCCGAGGACCGCACTTTTACTGAAGCATGGTAAAAAGCACGTATCTGCGTATAAAGAAATGGCACATTTGATGATTCTAAAAAGAGCCAGTGCTTGTGGCTCGTTATTTTGTCCAAGGTCCAATTGGTTTTGGTAAAACAAACTAAAGCGTCCAAAGCCGATGTGAATTTGACTGAAAAGTTAGCGCGATCGAAGTACTTTAAAGAAAGAGAAAAAAATAAGGGCAATCGAGGAAATATCAACAAAATATTAGCACAGCTGCCAGTAATTCACACGAAATTTCTATTAATTTTAATTAACTGACGCCCTCGTATCCAAATTATCGCGTTAAATGAAAGCTACGCCAGCGCGCGCCGCATGTAGCGCCTTCCACATCGTAGAGATACTTCAAACGCTACACGTTACGCATACGATCCTATGTGCAAATTGCCTATACTGCGCCTACTAGAGTGTGCAGACGTCCAGATGTTATGGAAGTGTACCTACATGCACCGTCCACCCGAAATCCGCGGATCATGCTATCGACACATTATGCGACATTTCTGCACGCTTGCATATTTCTTCATGCATAACTGAGAGCATATTTAAAAGTTCTGGAAATTTTCCTTAAACCACAAAAAGATATAGACAAATAATTTTTGGCGACATTTAAGGAACGGTTTTAAATGAGTCGCTCTTAAATGAACGCTCTTAATTGTCGAGTGAAGTTGCATAACGCTGCGATGCAAAACCCTACAACCTCTTGCATTTTTATGCTACCGTCCAGGGAAAAAGAAACCTCAGTGCGAAAAAGCAACATTCAGCACCTGAGCCCCTGAGGCTACAGGACTTTTGGTCCATTAATTTTTTCGTCCAATGTAT